TCAAGTAATGTCAGGCAAGTCAGAGTCGAGTCTCAAGTCACTGGTGTAAAAGTCCGAGTCAAGTCACAAGTCTGAAACTTTGAATTTCAAGTCCTTTCGAGTCTTTAAAAAAAAAAAAATAAAATAATGTTGCAGTTATGCTAAATGTAAATATTAGACCATGTAATTTTAAAATCTGTGTTTTTCTCAACACATGACAAAATAGTGAACTTAGAAAATATACACAAATTGTGAAATTGCACCTCTTTAAAATGCAGCTCAATTAAACCTAGCTCCAAGAATAATTTTCACCGACAGTTCTGAGATACGCTGCATGTTATTCTTGGATGCGGTTGTAGGGCCAGCTTTAAAATCGCATGACAAAAATATCATACACATTAAAAAAAACTGTATCACCAACGTAGCCTGGACAACATTTGCTAGTTAGATGAAGTCAGCTATCTCATCTTAGCATATTTATTTCAATTCAATTCAATCTTAATTGGCAGACTTCATGTCCATAAAAACAAGACAAAAAAAACAACACACACACACACACACAACACTCCCCCCCCCAACACAAGGTATACACCATTAAATATATATATGTATATAAATAAGTATCTAAAACATTTGTAAAAATATAAAACCATAATATACATAAAACACAATTACTTAAAATAAATCAATAAATACACAAACACTTTAACCAGTGCTTTCTGAGACTGGATGAGTAACGGGAACCACTCACTGGATCTGTGAGTGCTAAAATTATACTGTTACTCGAACCATCCAGTCGTTCTCTAAAATTGAACATTAGCTTCCTTAAAAGTGCTTTAAAAGTCCAAACACCCACAGCTACAAACATCTGGCTGGCACTACCACTTCTAGGTATCCTGCAAAGGATTCTCATCGCATCATTATATGCAACATGCAGCTTCTGCATGCTACATTGTTTGTAGGATGACCACAAGGGGGCAGTATATAGCGGTGTGCAATACGCTTTAAACAAAGCCACTTTAACTGGAAGTGAACAAAAGCTGAATTTGCGTGCAATAGTATTTGCCTGCACATAGAGCTTACACCGTTGTCTGTATATGTCATCATCATCATTCATTTGCTCAGTAATAAAGTGACCGAGGTATTTCACCTTTTTATGAACTTCAAGAGTTTTTTGTGCCAGTTTAAACAAAGGGAAATTTAGCTGTTTATCCTGCTTGGTTCTACATATCAAAACAGCACTTTTAGCAGCATTGTACTCAATGTCATATTGCACACCATATTCAGTACAGACATTAAGAAGATCCTGTAACCCAGCACTGCTTGGACTAAAAACAACCAGGTCATCTGCATACATAAGATGATTTATCAGTGCTTTACCTAATATACACCCAGTGTTACAGGCTCTCAGTTGTATGGACAAATCATCAACATACAAATTAAATAAAATTGGAGACAAAATCCCACCCTGTCTAACACCATTGCTGACACCAAAGGGGGCAGAAATACTGCTTCCCCATTTAACCTGCATGTTCTGATGAGCGTACCAGTAAGAGAGAATCCTCACGATGTATTGAGGAACTCCCCATCTCTTCATTTTATCAAAAAGTTTTCTGTGGTTCACTCGATCAAAAGCCTTAGAGGCATCAATGAAAGACATGAGGACAGATGAATTTTTAGCCCTGTACAAACTATTTCCTTGAGTGCATATATGCACATGTCAGTGCCGTGCTTTGAAGCCAAACTGATTATCCAGAGAAGAGATGAACACACTAACTCTGTCAAACAAGATTCTTTCTAACACCTTAGATAAAATACTGGCTAGTGCAATCGGCCTGTAATTATCCAAGCAGCTCACTTTTGCAGCTTTGTCCTTCATAACTGGTACCAGTAAAATACACAGCATTGAGTCTGGTAATATGCCATGAATCATAAACCCAGTGAAACAGAGTGCTAAAAGAGGAGCTAGCCTTACACTAGCATGTTTTAAATGTTCTGCAGTGATGTGATCCAAACCAGAGGATTTATTATCAGACAACCTATGAATGGCTTCATATACTTCATGTGTCCTTACACTTATTGTGTCATTACTCATGTCAAGATTGTCCTCATATGGTTCACTTTTTATACAGTTAAACAACGCACTGTAATGCTGTCTCCATAATGCTGCAATGTTATCTGCCCCAGAAACACCTTCAACAGTTGATGGTAGAGATGGTTTACAGTTATTAAGAGCTTTCACCTCTTTCCAAAAATCTGCCGTATTATTACACAGCATTTTCCTGGCCAAATAATCTGCTCTTAGCATTTGCTCATTTTTAGTTATAAAGCGAACAGCATACTTATATCTGGCATTCGCACATTTTTTCTGTTCAAATTCTGGGCCTTGTTTAGGTCTTCCAGCCATGGCCCAACATTTATAAGCTATGCGAGCTTCATCATGGTACATGGATACATGTTCTTTCCAGCCAGGTCTGATGTTAGGTTTCTTATGCTTATATTGTTTATCAAGCAGTGTGCCACTTTTATACAGAGCAGTCACTATATCATCATACATGGAGCAGAGTAAATGTTTATGCACAGCATTCTTACAGTTGACATCTTTGCACAAAATAGCTTCTTTATTTATATGCATATTAATAATCATACGGTTCTTGGAGTGAGTGCATACACTCATGAAGTTTAGTAACTTCCGGTCACTGCAACAAGTCCAGGTACAGTTTACCGACGGATGGGTGCAGGACCTTGAAATGCACCGTGTAGAACGAAAGACCATCGTACGTATCATAAGTTTACCAGTCTCACAAATCGTCGTCATAAATACACATTCCTTAACCGTTTATTAATATAACCTTTGAGCTCAACGGTAATTAATTAGTAGTGGAAATAATTTCTGGTTCATCACAGAAATGTAGCAGTGACAATAATACTGTATGCTGTAATCGCACTGGGCAATTAGTGATACAAAAAACCTGTTTTATCCTGTGAATAAAAGTATATGTTTTTGTCAATGTACCATAATAACAGAAGCGAAACACTATTTATGCACAATAAACAAAGGAGCATAGCGCGACAATTTCTGTTCAGCGCCAGACTTGCTTGTAACCTATATCACCAATTATGTTATGAAAATGACGTATTAACTACTAAAAAACACTGACCTTCGTGTAAATGCTTGGAGCAGACTAACCTGTGAGCTGGAGTGTTCTGGGACGTTATATTTGATCTTTGAATGGCTGCAATCCAGGCCATCCGTCGCGTCTTTGTTACTTCGGAAACATGGCTCGAACAATTTCTCTTCAACGACGTAATCCGATAACAACCGATCTCTTTACCCGTCGGCTTCCCGTGGCTGTCATGCGACCGGCTATTGCAGTTAATAATACAACAGCTTCTTGACATTTTTGTGTTTCTTTTTATCGCTGTATAACTGATTTTAATTGAAAGCCTGCGTGCGCTAGTACCGCTTGCCACGAGTTCCCAGAATCCTTTGCGGTTCTACCCGTGAATGACGTCACATTTTCAATCTCTATATAATATGCATGTTAAATTTTATATTTGGGGTAAAATATCAAGTCTTTTCAAGTAAACCGGTTCAAGTCCAATTCAAGTCCCAAGTCATTGGTGTAAAAGTCCAAGTCAAGTCACAAGTCTTAGAACATTTTTTCAAGTCAAGTCTAAAGTCATAAAATTAATGACTCGAGTCTGACTCGAGTCCAAGTCATGTGACTCGAGTCCACACCTCTGCGAAGGTGTCTCTTCTGCAGAAGTGGAATTGTTCTCAGTCTGCAGCCTCATTACTCAACATTATAACTTGATAATTTTCTAAATCCACCTCCTGCTTTATGAGCATAACTGATTCTTTTTCTCAGGTCTAAAGTGATTTCTTTGGTTTAATGCGTGATGCTTTCTCAGCAACAGCTCAAACTTTTACTGGAGTTTAATACTGAGTGTAATCCAGAAGCTAACCCTCCCTTTAACTCAATTTTACAGCTCTGAGAATTACAGAGTTAAAGGTCGGCCTTTCAGTTATAGTGTACTAATATAAATCATTTATGCTTTCTCAAGAAAACTGGGATGATTCTTTTGAAAAAGCACTCTGGGAACTTTGGGGGAGTTAGTCTGTTAGCAGTGAATACCTTTGTATTCTTTGTTTTTCTTAGAGTTATTATATCTTTGTTAATTGCAGTGAATACTCGCTGACCCAGTTTGATGATGTTTGGCGTGGACGTGTTCCTGCTGCGCTCTGTGCATGCCGTCACCGTCAGGTTGTAGATGTCTCCGGGAGGCAGAGGGAGGCTTGCCCGCATCACATTCCGAGTCACCTGACACAGCACCACATGTAAACAACACGTAAACAACATGTAAATAACACTTGAACAGCGTGCACACAGTCAGTCCTGAGTGCCCCCTTCCTCCATCTGATGGGGTCATATTCTGCTCTGCCTCTGTCCCACGCGGAGCTGCTGAAAGATTAACAGTGCAGGTATTTTCCTAAAATATCTTTTTAATCTGCCCTGAATAAAACTAAAAATATCCCTGCAGTAAATCCTCACAGCTGTCTGTGTCTCCGTTTAGTCACTGTGACCGTCTGCTTCCACCACGAACTAACGATTAAATATAAATGATCAGCTCTGAGTGTGGAAGCTTCATTAAACTTCTGCAGACCTGCTGACTCAGTCTTTGTACTCTTATATCTAATTATAATTTTAAATTACATTCAACCTCAAAGACCGAACAGACTGTATATAAAAGATGGACATCACCAATGTGACATTAGCCATTGCTTTGCAAAGCCATGTCCTCTAACCTCCAGCAGAGGCCCCAGCAGTGATGGAGTCCGCAGAAACTCTCAGGTTACATTATTAGGGGTGTGGCCTCTTTGACTGACAGGTGGCTGTAGCTGCCAGCTGTCAGTTAGGCTTACATTTAGCAAACTGGACCTCTGGACTGTGTTTGTGTTGTTGGAGTCTTTTGGAGCATTTTTAATGACATTATCTGACCAATAATAAAGCTGCTGTGAGGTTATTATAGAGACAAACTTTGCTAAACAATGCTAACCAAGTTAGCTAGCATTAGATGATAACTTAGCATTCCACCCTCTTATCCAAACAAAACAAACATTTTAAGAAACAAGAAAACAACGAGCTGGCGCCCAGAATGCTAACAAAACTAATGGATGATGTCATGGTGGCTATGCTCATCTTTTATATACACATTTGACCACATTTGGAAAAGGAAGAGTAATTTTTGGTTTCAGTCCCCGAGGTCAATGCTCATTACTGAGATTTCTATTTCACATAAATTCTTCAAAATAAAGTTACATTTCTCTTGTTTGTTGTGTTTTTGTAAGCTGGTTTAATTGTTTACACATTTATCAGAACTATTAGTAGCAATCTAGTAGAAATGAAGACTGCTTAACATCCTGAATATAGTTGACATCTACACGCCATTTGTATACGCTCTCAATTAAAACTCCAACATGGCTTGGGACCCTCAGACACTTGATCACAGAAGCGAGCTCAGGCTACGGTGGTAATTGGACTCGTAGAGCAGCGACGTCTGCAGGTCATTCTCCTGCTGCTAATCAGACCATCGAACCAACCCGAAGGAGAGAGTCAATAACAGCTCCGCTCGACCCTGAAATAATGAGCTGCTGCTGGAGACACACTCATCACCACACAAACGCACAAATACACCTAAAACAGCGAGAACGTGTCTCAGAGTGTCGTGAACACCTAGACAGATGTGTCTGGACTCACGTCAACGGAGTACGTCTTCTCCGGTCCCTTCTTCCCGACAGCGACCACTTGCCAGTGCAGCATCCTTGAGTGCGACAGGTCAATGAAGAGCTCGCCGTATGTCCAGCGGACGTACAGAACGCCATGAGAGTAATCCACAGAGGAGATGTGAGGCGCCTCGGGAGCTGAGAGGAGGAAGAGGAAGGAGACCTGCATCATACGTTTGCAGACACATTAAAGATGTGCCGTCTGGATCTTCACAAGAAATATCAGCAAATAAAAGCCAAAATAAAAAAAAACGTAAGAAACAATAAAAAGTCATGCGTTTTGTTCTTCATCTGTGAGCTGCATTATCAGTAAACCCAGAAAAAGATATAAAATAAAAACAAAATGAATTAGATCATTAAAAATATACATTTATTTTATTTATTTCTATTTTTATGCATAAATTTTAAATTGTATATTTATTGTATTATTTCAGGGAGTGACCAAATTGAGTAATATTTAAACAAAATAAAAAAAAATATTTAAAATGTTAAACACTAAAATGTGTTTTAATTTTGCATGTTTTTATTTCTTAATTTATTTTTGATTTATTTTTAGAGCTGATGGATGAATACAGAAGAATAAAAAATATTCATGAAGAAAAAAATGGCTTGAAATTATGTGTCTAAATTTCTCTTTATATAAAAACTAAATAAATCAGTAAAAACAAATTTAAAAGTCTATTTATTCTATTTTTAAGTCTAAGTGTGTTTGCTGGATCCTGGCCCAGCCTCCCTCGCAGCGTCCTTGCAGCGGTGAGGCATCACCTGTGACGAAGCTCACGGTGGAGCTGTCGCAGCAGCTGAGCGGTGGGTCACCCCACGTCACCATGGAAACACGGAAATTATAATACCAGGCAGGCAGCAAGTCAGTCACCCTCTGAGAGGAAATAGAGACAAATACGGTGAGGTGGATGCGGCATGGTGCCATGACATGTTTCCTGTGACGGAGACAGACTGGTTACCACTGAGGCGATGACGGAGGCGGTGGCGGCGATCTCGTAGTAGGTGGTCCACTCAGAGGCAAGCGTGACGGGGTTGAAGAAGAAGGTCTGCAACACATATTTCCTGAAGGCAACGTGGTATGGACGCTGCCAGCTGAGGATCACCGCCGTTGGACTCAGGGGGTAAACGGTGAGCTCGCGCACGCCGGTGGGCTCTGACACAGCACACCGACACAGGCGGGATTTAAGAGTGGAACAGGAAGAACAGGAGCAGTGAACAGGAAGTGGGACTGAAAAAGACGCATAAAGTGACGCTCACCGATATCGATGATGACGGGCTCCGACGGCGGGCTGATCAGGGGTCCATTGGTGTGATAGACGACCACCCGGTATTGAGCACCCGGCGTCAGGTTGGTGATGATGTCACTCGTCGAGTTTTCCTGTGATTATATATTTAAACACATATATATGTATTAAATTTTTTTTATTATTTATTCAAAAGACCCCCCCCCCTGTGTGAGCTTCAATCTGCGGTGCGCGGCCAGTGATGAGTGCCGTGCCATACCTCGCTGCAGTAGGTGTTCTCCATCCTCTGGCTCAGGCTGGGCTTCAGGCAGGTGGTGGAAACCACTGACACGAGGCTCCCATTGTGGTTCTGCGACGATGGCGCCCAGGAGATGGCAGCGGTGCTCGAGTCCAGCAGCCTGACGCTGACGGCTTGAGGATGCTCTCGCAGGTCCTCCAGCAGCTCGCCGCTGGGACCTGTAACCATTAATAAACCAGCGAAGGAGCAGGTCAACAGGAAGTGGATTACGTTAACAATGACAACACTAGAACAAAGATGCATTTGATTGAATCCATCCTTTATTGCCACACGCTGCTGCATGCGCCATAATCACTTCCTGTACACTTACTGAGGTAGAAGGTGAAGGCAGTGTCGCCACTGCTCTCTCGGGACTCGCAGTCTCCAGACGAGCTCAGTGTGGTCACTTGCACACGGTATATTCCCGGCTCCGTTAACTCTGTAAAGAACTCGTGAGTGCTTTCATCCACCGTCGCTGTTTCTGTCGAGTTACCTGAGGAGCAGAGCGAGAGGTTCAGATGCCAACACGGAACATATAATCAATTAAACAAACCTCAACCACTTTTAAAGCTTAAATCTACAGAATAATCCAGATAAATCAGACTTTTACAGCGTTGACTTCTGCAGTCACCGATGATGATCAAGCTAAGAGAATTTGAAGGTAAAAACAGTCTGCTGATTATTTCAGTTGATCGTTTAACTGGTTTTAAAAACATCCGAAAACATCAGAAATGTCCAAAATGACGTTCCAGGTTATTAAAAATGGAAAGCAGTGACTCTCAGGTTTATTTCCTGTAAAGGCCAGCAGCTAAACATGGTGCGATCCTGTAATATCAGAATCAGTGATTTTGAACCCTCCCCAACCCCTTTATTGGAGAGGTTCTTACTCGTGAGCACGGCAACTGTCTTCATGGGGCGGGACCAAGCCTGTCCCCGTCTGAGCAGCAGCCCCACCGTGTAGCAGAGGCCGTGGAAGGAGGCGTTGTACAGCAGAGGCTCGCTGGTGTTTATGAACTGGATCAGGATGGTTCGAGGTTCTCCAGAGATCTGCACCGCATACGCCGTGACGTTCTCCTGCAGGTCTGAGCTATCCAAAGTCGCCACAATCAAACCTTCGTCGTTTACGGTCGCCTGGAACGCCGTCATGCTCTGAAAAAGAAAAATGTGAGCAAACAAAGAGGTTAAAGTTTATTTCAGCTTAGATGAAGCAGCTCCTTTCACTCTGACCCGCTGAGCTCTGGTGAGGCCCAAACACACTGGATCCTGCCCCTCAACAGGATTCCCAGAATAGGCCAATCAGAAGAAAGTGGGCTCTCGGATAGGGGTTATTAAAGAGACAGCTTTGTTTAGATAAAGAAGGATTATTATTAACTGTGAATAATGCAGAGCAGCTCTGGTGGAGTCCAGGAAGAAACATGGAACAGAACATGATTTATTTCTGAAAGTTAAGAAATCAAAAGTGAAAACAGCTCAAAAGCTGCACAGCCTCTCACACTTGCCAACAGCCAGCCGTCAGTTTTACCCCCTGCAGTCTCAGTGTCCATGAATATGATTTCCCATCATGCTTTGGCCCCAGAGCTCTAAGAATCAGGCCAAAGAGAAAGAGAAGACACAACACTGAGGATGCAGAGAGGGCTCCCATTGGCTGGTGATCAATTAATGACCAATATTAAACACGTTTGACTGGGTGAAGAGGAGCCTCAGACTGAGCATCGGAGTTCCCGTAATCTCGGCCTGTTTTATTCTATTCTCTTCTTTCTGAGCGCAAAGATGCTTTGTGTTCTTGTCTCTCCTGTCCTGAGCTGAGCAGGCTGGTCTGCCTTCGTTAAATCTGACATCAGGAGGTTGACTCCCCGCCAAGCACCATCCGTGTGCATAAAGGTCACGCTGCTGATTGAATCACATGATCACAGCACCACACATTTCATTCAGTTACAACCCACTATTTGATACTGGTCACTGATTGGTTCCTGGTCTGAAACAGGAGATGTCAAGTGATTCCACCTTAAAGGAGTTTTTTTTTCCCCTGATGATAAAACCATACAGAAGTGTCAAACTAATTCTTGGATTCGTGTGTTTTGGTTCTGTGTATTTATTGTGCCGTCAGTTTCCATGTATCTTATCTAAGAGCGGCTGCGCTCCGGCTGAGGTCGGATCGGTCGGTTAGAGCCTGTGTTTCCTGTTTGGGGATCAGCAGCAGCTCAGTGACACGATTGCCTACAGCAGCTTCATGAAAGCACTGCGACCTGCTGTGACTGCGGAGCAGCAGATTATCCATCCGCACAGAACCTGACCCACATTTCAAACAGTCACGAACGTGTGCTGCACCGAGGCATGATGGAATCTACCCTGACACCGTGAGGACGTTAAATATTCAGCGACAAACAGAGAAAGCGAAGCGGGTTAAATGTTAGTAAATGTAAAGTGTAGCAGGAGCTGACCTACATCCAGGAAGGAAACATTTCTGAACCTGTCAGCTGAGAACAACCATTATCCCAATTCCTCCATGCAGGACACAGGCTCTGGTTTTACTGTCTTTTTAGCGCTGTGCTTAATAAGAGTACAGTGTAACCTCAATCTAGACTTTACAGACATTTGGATCGCTGTAAAAAAAACAACCCTCAGGTTGAAAACATCAATTGAATTCTATTTAAAGAACATAAAAACACACTGTGTAAATACAGTATATATGATCTAAAAATGATAAAACTGTTATCATTCAGTGTTTCACACAAATTCTCTCAAAAAGCCATTAAAGAGATGAGGGAAATGTTCTGTATGATGTATGCAGAATCAAATAAAACTATCAGTTTTATCAAAGAGCCATCTTTGTAATTGCTGTGCCTGATATAAAACTTTTGTATTTTCCTTCAACTGCTGTTAAAACGCTCTGTGAACGACCTCCGCCTACGAAGCTTCACCTCCTCTAACAGCACGCCTCCACATTAGACTGTAGAAGATAAATCTCTCTCTCTCTCTCTCTATAGAAAGGAGGCAAATAAAAGCTCAGCCTACTCTGGTTTGGCCTTTTAAAATGCCAGGCCGGCACTCTGGCTTAATGACTGCTGTGGTATTTGGACAGAGCAGGTCCATAAAGATGGGAAGGGAGGTGGGGGAGGAGGTGCTGAGGTCTATTTGTGGAGTTAGATAAAGAAAAAGGAAGAACATAGGTTTGTTTGTGGAAAGGAAACTGACTGTGTGGTGCACCTCATGGCTCGATCCTGGGTCCTCCTCTTTTCTGTACTTACGTCAACAGTACATCTAACTGAGCTTTTTCCTGTATGCAGGTGATACTCAACTGTACCTCTTTACTTTCCTGAAGCTGGAAGTCAGGGTATTTGGAGGATGTTAGATGTTGGATCAAAATGAAATTGTTCTTCTGTCTGTCTAGGTTTTCTGTCATTAAGGTTACGATAATCTAAGGAGCTTGGAAAGCAAGCAGGTGGCAGGTGGACTTCTTTAAATTTCTTGAAGGCATTTCACCTCTTATTCAAGAGGTTTCTTCAGTTCTTAAAATGTGGAAAGTCTTAGCTATCTACAACCTTGTGGAGGTTGCCCTTATTTTGAAAAACAAAACATTTTTTTTTAGAATTAATTCATGATTATGTCATTTTGTTTTGATTTGATTCATATGTGGAGCATGGCTCTCATTGTTTAGAGCTTAATCAATAACCTGATGGAGGCGGTAGATGAGCTGATCCTAATGGGAACACGAACCTCCAGAACATATTTAATCACAATCCACAAGCCGCTTTCTACTTTCTAAATTAAAGGGTACCTATTCTTTATTTTCTTATTATCTGTCGTGGATATATTGTTTCACTGTAGTACACCTCATAACCTCTGGGTGCTGCCCCTCTGCATGCCTGTGAAGTTAGTCAATCAGAAGATAGTGTGCTTTCAGGGAGAAGCTAAAACAGCTTGTTTCAGAGGACCAATTAAGGGGCTGCACCAATATCCAGTTCAAATTCCAAGAGTAAAAATAAGTTTCAAAATGAGCTGAATGTATATGTCAGCTTCACACAATCAAGTTTTGAAAACTTATTTTAGATGGCAAAAATTGATACTCAGATATTAATCAATACTTAAATTACAATCTGATCAGACAGCTATTCTGAGTTGAAAGAACCCCTCCCATCACTAACACTAGGCACAGCTTCAGGAGGAAGTTCAGAGGTCAGTGGACAGACCGGTTTGTCTTTATGACCGAAGCAGAAAAGTCGACCAGAAGCTGCACAGAAACAACCTTAAAGTACCAGTCACATAGTTACTGTTGTTACTTCTGTTGTTGTTTGTATTGTTCCAGTCTTTATTTAAAAGAAAACCACTAAAGCCTCTAATTTTTCCTGTGGTACTGCAGTATTCCCATATATGCAATACTCTCTTGGGGATCAGTGATGAGTTAGAAATTCAAGTATCGTGACAACCCGAGCTGTCACCACATTGCAACCATCGACATCAGCCTGAGTGAGAGTGGAAGAGAAAATCCACACTGACTCATTCAAGGCTCCACTGCTCTGCTGTCGCCATGGCAACAGTGATGAAAGGAGCACCACGTTTAGGGTGGGTGGCGGCGCAGCAGGATTACCACGGAGACGCTGCAGAGCATGGGGGCTCAATGCTACTAATGTACCCCCAGCCCCCACATCGGGCCAGAATCACATGACCCCAGCTGTTTCACTGATCAGCGAGTTTGGTCAATAAGAAGATCCTCTGAGAGCCTGAACATCAAAACCTGCAACACATTTCCTCAGGTTATCTTTAGTTTCACCCACTGTTCACTCATTAACTGTCCAACTAATCCTACAGCTCCAAGAGCTACACACTCAGCACCGCTTACACTTTTCCAAAGAGAAAGGTTTTCGATTTCTCTGCAGATCACAGACTTTCTGAGGGTCAAGCACTGCCGTACATACTCAGACACGAACAAAACAACATCAATGGTCTGTCAGCACTGATCAATTTTCTTTCAATCAATGTCTGTAACGACACACTGTAAATAAAAGATGGAAGCAGTCACTGGTTTTTGGACTCATCTTAGAAAAAACTGTATGGGAACAACATACAGACGCTGATGCCTGCTAATTGGTAACATCCAAATAAATTCCTAAAACTGGTGCTCAGACTTCCTGGATAGCCTGTTAGTACAGTAATCTCACAGCAGCCATATTATTGGTCTGATAAAGTAATTAAAAATGCTCCCAAAGGCTCCAACAGCACAAATATGGTCCAGAGGTCCAGTTAAGAGACTCAAATTAGTTGACATAAGGCAGGTTGCAGGTAGAGGCCACGCTTCTAATAATGCAAACTTTAAGCTCTAATGCAAGTTAATAAGGTGACTTACAATAATATTCTCCTCTTGTGCAGTTGTTTGTGTCTCTAACTCCTGATATAAACCCCAGATAAACTGTTAGTCTCCTTCTTCTCCTGTATATAGAACTGTGTCATCTGCGTATAGAGACGCTTTTCTTCTCATTCCTCTCTTTTGCTTACTGTTATCTTTATTCCTTAACAAAAGTTTGGTACAGTTGTAATGAAGGGGGAAATTATCTATGTTTTTAACATTACAGTCTATGGAGACTGACTCACTGCTTTGGCCACTGCTGGGCGCTAGAGGAACTGCAGGTTTTGGCTTCTATTAAACCAGGGGTGTCCAACTCCAGGCCTCAAAGGCCGGTGTCCAGCAGGTTTTAGATATCACCCTGGGTCAACACACCTGAATCAAATGATTAGTTCATTACCAGGCCTGTGGAGAACTTCAAGACATGTTGAGGAGGTAATTTAGTCATTTAAATCAGCTGTGTTGCATCAAAGACACATCTAAAGTCTGTAGGACACCAGCCCTTGAGGCCTGGAGTTGGACACCCCTGTATTAAACTGTGTTAATGATCAGGTCCTGATGGGTGTTTCTATTGTAAAACTTGTTCTGAACTTCTTACAACTGTAGGCTGATCATAAAAAAGATCAAAATTAAAGTAACACTAAAATTTCTAAATAATACAAATGAACTGAAAGAAGCAAACAGAGCGTAGAAACTAAAACTAAAAACACTGAATCCTCAGAGTTGTGTCAGGACACCAGCTCATCCTTTCATGAGGGGAAAGTGATTCTGAGTAAGTGAATGAATGTGACCCTGTGAATGGCTGCAGACGGACAGCCAACAGGGGGTGGAGCCAGGGGTCGGGAGGCTTCACCCTCAGGCAGCTGCCAGCATTATCATGCAAACCTGCAAAGCTGTGTGGAGGCAGGTGGGGAAGACGGGGGGGGGTGTTCTGGATGGGCTTTTTTCATACTTTTATGGCTCACCTCAGACTTTTTTGGCTTGATTAGAGCAGAGTAAATCTTCCCTTTTTTGAATGTAGTCTGGTGAGGGTAAATTTCATAACTCTAAAAACAACCTGAGCCTCACAACTTCTGCAGATTCCTCTTGACTCTATTTTTCCTGCGTGGAAAAGTTCAGCTTGGTGTTTTTTTCTGATGAAATCCAATCTGAGGCCTTTCCTTCATCATGTTTCTGGCTTCTCTCTTACAAGAGTGTTACACTAAAATCTCCACTTTTCTTTATGTAGCCTGGTGAGGCTCAGAGGTCTTTTCATGCGGTGCTTCCTTTCACCGGAATAACAAAAGATGGCTGACAGCTCTCTGCCTCATTCACAGAACAATGAGAACCTTTGCAACGAGTTCTCCAAAGCAGGTTCCCACAGAAGAAGCTGCTGCAACAACCAAACCGAATGAAGCGGAACGCAGAGGTACAAACATCGGGCATCAAACGCCGGGAAGCGAGTTTACGGCTCTCAAGATCTGTAAAAAACAGAAAGAGACTGAAAATGTTTTTCCCACACTTAAGAAGCTGGAACAGGGACTTGATTGGTTGATTATTTCAAGTACTATAACAAGCCTAATGAGGTAATGTGACCACAATAAGGTAAAATGTCCGACATTTAGGGCAGGTGCTCATTGCTGTAATCAAAAAATGGAGAAGAAACTTCTTATAAGTAAGTATCAACTCCAAAAGCTGCAGTTCCTCTAATGTCCATTAGGGAAGTTTGTCTTAACTCATGTGAAGACGCTCTGGTAAAGAACACGAGGAAGGAAACTAAAAGTTAACTTCTGGAATTAAATTCAACACGTTACTGTAAGTGATGTTTTTCTTGACCTTAAATGTGGACTGAGGGGTTCAGTGAACCTCATTTTCATTGCCTGTCACTAGAAAAGATCCAGAAGGATCTGCAGCTCCATATATATGTTAGATTCAACCAATCAGATGGCCCCATGTGAAACTGTGGACCAATCAATGACAATGCGTCCCTCCATGGAGGCTTTCTGTTCTCACCGTCTGGATTCTGAAATGACACAGAGCTTCAGGGTGAAGTTGATCATTTTCAGTCCTTCATCAGATCCCAATGCATCATGGTGGTGGAGCTGGAGGTGGAGGAGCTTCTTTAGTGACCTTCCTAAACGTTTCATTAGAGCTCAGCAGGAAAAGTGGCGAATCACCTTCTCTTCATCAGCTCACCATAACCATCATCATGTGACTAACAACACGTAAAAGGTCCATCAGCTGATTACACAATCAAAGCCAACAGGAAGCCTATCTTATTTATAAGACCTTTCAAAGTAAACGCTCCCATTAGTAGGGAGATAAAAACCCAA